GACCCCCCCGCCCCACCCGCACCCGCCGCGGGACCCCAGGGGGAGGGCCTGCTGGCCGCTGCCGCCGCGGCCGAGGGGAAGTCGGGGAAGCGCGGCGGCGCGAGGAGCCGCCAGGATGAAGCTGGTGAGGAAGGACCTGGAGAAGGATAATGCGGGGCAGGTGACACTGATCCCCGAGGAGCCCGAGGACATGTGGCACACCTACAACCTGCTGCAGGTGGGTGACAGCCTGCGGGCCTCCACAATCCGGAAGGTGCAGACCGAGTCGGCCACGGGCAGCGTGGGCAGCAACCGCATCCGCACCACCCTCACCCTCTGCGTGGAGGCCATCGACTTTGACTCGCAGGCCTGCCAGCTGCGGGTCAAGGGCACTAACATCCAAGAAAATGAGTATGTCAAGATGGGGGCCTACCACACCATCGAGCTGGAGCCCAACCGGCAGTTCACGCTGGCAAAGAAGCAGTGGGACAGCGTGGTGCTGGAGCGCATCGAGCAGGCCTGCGACCCAGCCTGGAGCGCCGATGTGGCAGCCGTGGTCATGCAGGAAGGGTTGGCTCACGTCTGCCTGGTCACTCCCAGCATGACGCTTACCCGTGCCAAGGTGGAGGTGAACATCCCCCGCAAACGGAAAGGGAACTGCAGTCAGCACGACCGGGCATTGGAGAGGTTTTACGAGCAGGTGGTGCAAGCCATCCAGCGGCATATCAACTTTGAGGTGGTGAAGTGTGTGCTGGTGGCTAGCCCAGGCTTTGTACGGGAGCAGTTTTGTGACTACATGTTCCAGCAGGCGGTCAAGACTGACAACAAGCTTCTGCTGGAGAACAGGGCCAAGTTCCTACAGGTAAGGAGCTAAACAGTCTCCACAGTGGGTAAAAAGAGGCTGAAGAGCTGTCTGTGATAATAGAAGATAATTATAAGGGTAGCGGGAAATAATTCACTTATTAGACAAAATAAATTTCTGTCTGAGCATCATAAGGAAACTATTCTCATGCCTCCCAAACTATAAGGTAGTTATGCAGGATGCAGGGATGGTTCTTTCCTGGGATACCTTAATGTGGAGTAGAGGAAGTGTTAAATATTTCAAACTCCCTGTAAGGGCATATTTAATCTTCAATTAAGAGTGAAGTACAAGTTGGAAAATAGTTTAACTGTAGTGTTAATCTGTCATGCTATATAACATATATGTTTAATAACAGCTTTCTAAAGCTTTTTAAAGAAGAAAAAAAAAAAGTACATGGATGTGATAGAGGTTAGTTAATTGTGGTGTTAGTTTTGTACTACATAGTTAAAGGTTTTGCAGACCACAGCATTTTTTCCTGTTCCTTAGTCATCTCATTGATTGAGTGGGTGTGGTTTTTTGCCTTTCACTGAAATAGGCAAACTCAGAGCCTAAAATAAGTTTTCCTTTTCATAAGGAGACTTGTATCATTTTTTAACTGTAGTAGGCCTGTAATCTATGCTTGCAAAAGGCAGGGGGGTGGAGAAGCATGCCCCAGCACTTAATGGTCACAACGTTTAGGAGACAAATTGCACCAAGAAGCCTCCTTCTGCATTTGTAGCAAAGCGATAATAGTAAGTGTAAAAGTTTTAATGTACTTCACAGCTTTGCAAGCATAGTAGCTATGCAGTTGTGCAAGACTTGATGCTGTTGCACTGTGGGTCTGCAGTCTTAAGAGGTCTTCCTCTCCTGGAATGCTTTAAAAGGAAGAGGCTTAAGTCTTAGTTTCTTAGTAGTTTCAAGTGGACCTATCTTGAGGACTGTCTGCAACAGCTTGCATATTTGACCCAGTCTTTGAATAAGAGAAGCAGCTTTCCCGCACTTCGTAAAATACAGTTTAAGGGATTTGGTATAGGCTTTGGTTTGCAGGAGAGATCCTTTAAGAAAAGAATCAGGTTTCAAGAAAGAGGTAACTTTCTTGAATGATTATCAAGATAAATATTATGTATAGCGGAAGCTGTTTGTGATTGGCTAATCAAGAAAATGGTCCTTTTTAGTTAAAAAAACCAAACCTTTGACTTTTTTTACTCTAGGTCCACTCTTCCTCGGGACATAAATACGCATTGAAGGAAGCCCTCTGCGACCCAGCTGTAACTAGCCGTCTCTCTGACACTAAGGCAGCTGGTGAGGTCAAAGCCTTAGATGACTTCTATAAAATGCTGCAGCATGAGCCTGACCGGGCTTTTTATGGTCTAAAACATGTGGAGCAGGCCAATGAAGCCATGGCAATTGATACCTTGCTGATCAGTGATGAGCTTTTCAGGCACCAGGATGTGGCTACACGCGCCCGATATGTTAAGTTGGTAGACAGCGTACGGGAGAACATGGGCACGGTACGCATCTTCTCCAGCCTTCATGTGTCTGGAGAGCAGCTTGGCCAGTTGACGGGGGTGGCAGCCATCCTGCGCTTTCCTGTGGCTGAGCTCTCTGACCAGGAAGATGAATCTAGCTCTGAAGAGGATTGATAACAGTGAACTTCACGGTTTCTTTACCAAGTCATGTTGAAATGACATTAAAGACCCTCCCTTCCTAAATACCGTGTGCAGATGTGCCATGACCTGTAATTTAAGTTTTTGATAGTATTTCATACAGCATATAGCTCTGCTCAGCACACTAATGGATATCTGTTCTGTGGTAATGATTATTGGTATGCTGTGCATTGGAGTTGACTGTTTTTGCAAGTTACACCCTGGACCTCCAGCAGTACACGAAACTAATTTGACTCCCCAAAGCTGCTCATTCTGCATGTTAAGGCAGACTGGCAGCTTGGTGTTTTGGAATGTGTATGAAAAGATAATAAACTAAGAGGGAGAAAATTATGTCAGACTGTCTATTTCTGTTTAAATGCTTGAAAACAGTATTGCAAAACAAAGGTAAAGGTTTTTGATAGGTCATGCAAGACCTTGATCTTATTAGGAATTCACCATTCTTCCCAAGATGTGGCAAAGGAGTGGGATAACATTATCTGTTAGGGGTTTTTTTGGTGTTATGAGTCTTAACTAAAATATTTCTGTGAAACACTTGAAGCAATCTTTCAGAAACCAGACCCTTTAAATTAACCATTTCCTCCCTGATATGATAGTAGACGCAAGACAAATTGTGAAGCTCAGTGCACCCATTTCAGTTACCTTTTTGAATGCTGTTATCTTGGGAGATTGTCCTGACGGCTAACAAGGTATGATGTATCTTGTCATTGACTGTGTTCTGATGAATTGGCATTGGGATTGTGTAACACCCAGTTCTGAGAAGGTATATGAAAAGGCTTACAAAATCAGGACCCTAGTTTTCATGAGGAATCTTTTGACAACAAATAGTTTAAGTAAGTTCATAATCTGGTATTTGTCTCTTTGTGTACGTCTTTAAAAACATACATAAGCTGTGATACAGAAGTAAGGATTACAAATTTATAAATTGAACTTCAGCTTAAGATAATGACAACTGTAAAAATCAAAATTACTTTTCCAATTATGTGATCTGCTCAAAGTATTGAGAGCCACTGAGTTTTGTTTCTTCACTGGACAATAAATCTTAGGCTGAGGAAGCAGAAACTGCTTTTGGATTCTGACATATCTGCAAGGGGATTGTTCAGTTTAAACCGATGTTTGATGGTGTAGGTTGTGTGAGTAAATAAGCATTTCTTTTTTTAAATGTGGGAGGGGGGCAACAGGAGAGACTTGCCAAAAATACATTTCATTTAAGAAAACCGTGGAAGACTTCTGAAATATGGAAAGGGACATAACAATGGAAGATTAAAAATAAAAACACACAAACTTTTAGTCTGGGTAGAATAATTTTAGAAAAAGCATTTTTAATGGTACTGTGTGCTAGCTCTGTGAACTTGATATTATCTATTGCTAGCTGCAACATCTGCCTAAAATCCTTGATAGAGCAGTACTTCTGGGTTAAAAGCCATCTCCCCTTTTCCCATCGCCCACAGAGTCTAAAGAATGCATGAACAGAACTTAATTAGAGCTGTACTTTATTAACACTTTGATTCTTCTCTCACTGAAGACAAGCAAGCCCATTAAGACAGTTGTTCAGAGTCAGCTTGCACAGATAAACTATGTTAATTTGAGCTTTACGTTTTTGTCTTGAATGGTGTTGAGCGCCACAAGTCATAGAATGCTCAGGTAGGCTTCCTTCAGCAGTTAGGACTGGTTAAATTAAAATTTCTTTTTTTTTCTTTTAAAAATCTGCCTAAGCTGATTATACACTTTGCCTGCTAGAAAGCACCATGATTCTTGCTGTGTACGGAGTTTAATGTAAAAACATAAGAAACAGGTAGAAGAATCTGACCTTCAATAAATATTATTTATATGCAGCAAACTATGGCTTTAAATAGGCTCATAATGTCTAAACAAAGTCATTAATTTCTTTAAGATAAGCTGGTATATTAGTATTTCCCTTCTTTTAAGAAATGCTAATTTGTTGCAATTGTACACAAATGATGCTTACATTCAAAATTGTAATACAGCAGGAAATTCTTCATTTAATTCTCAGCAAACTGAGAGACAAATCAAACTGTTCCTGGGTTGTGGAATGGTTTGCTATTTTATTAGACCAAATTGATTCCAGTTATTCCATTTTAAAGAAGAAATTATGAAGAGTTTTTGCTGTGTACTATAAGATCACAATGGCAATTCTGCAAGTCTATGCTTTGTGCTTGTGGTGTGGTATCACCAAGGAAAAGAAGCAGCCATTTTGCTGCTTATTTGTTTTTTAAGGTATAACAGCAAACATCTAGTAAGAAAATATGTTCACAGTGATTCTTTTCATTATTTACACTTAGAATTAAAATTCTGCACAGACTTTACAATTTATGAGTATTTTTCTTTGTTTAGCTATTGCTATCATGGCATTAAGACTCTGAAAGAAATACACATCTAGTTGCCCAAAGTATGGAAGGGTGGGATTTTTTTTTTTTGGTAAGCATTTTTGTAGTAAAACAAATATACAATCACTATGTAGACAAATGCATCCTGTTTCAGGAAACAGCTTAAGGGCTGTTAAGGGTATTAAAAGTAGCCTGTGTTCAGTAGTTGGCAGATGCTTGACCTGGCAAAGTTCCAGTGTTGCTAGTATCTTTTACATTTAAAGGAAGTTTAAATAGTTGAAAAGTCCATATTGACAAAGATGCTTGCTTAACACAGACCTTAACATCTGTGTGTAGATCGCACTTACGCAGATGACACATGTTATCTGCAGATCAAATGAGTAAGTACTAGAGCCATGGGAAAATATTTTTTGTGTCTCATCTCTGGAATTAAACATACATGAACTAAAAACTGTCCACAATATGAAAATTGTTCTCTTGCATCATAAAGCATTTAGTAATTTTGAACAGTGTTTCGGTTTAGTTTCTGATTATATTCTGATGTAATTCTGTGAATTACTAGCATCATTTATCTTCCAATTTTTCAGTTTTCAAAGTAAATGAATACACATTGTATGACTTGTTAATGTTTATTACGTTTGGTGGGAAGAAAGCTTTAAAAAGTATCATGAAATCGGCTTGATCCTGAACCCTGCTGTGCTCTTAGCTTCAAAGTTTCAAATAAATTCATTAATGTAGGTCATGAAGCCACTCTTGCAAACTCATACTTTGGAACAGGCTCCAGTTTGTTAGTTTTGTCACCTTTGGCATTTAAATCCAATTACTATTATATCAAATTTTTTTGTGGTTGTTTACTAAATAAAGTTTGGTGCAAAACATGAGGTCACTACCAGGAAGAGACCAAAATAATCCTACTAGTTATAAAGCAAAATAAAAGATAAATCTTTCAGTAAAACTGTAGAGCATTTAACAGTATTTGACCTGGGGAATTCCTCATTTCCCTCCTTCCTGTCTTCACCCTTGTACACTGTATGAGTAAAATGCTGGTAATAAATGATCTTTCGACCATTCCCTGACCAGCAGTGTAACAAGAGCCCATAGCTCTTCAGCTTAATTTGTGATGTTAACTAGCATGATGTTTTTAAAGCCATGTAAATGTCTGAAGTAATTTTCATTTGCTACTGTTTTCTCAAAGGTTAAGTAGCCCTGAATATTAAAACTGTCTTACTTACCCTTTGAAAGTTTCTTAGTTTAACTTCTGAGCTGTTGACCTTGGTTTGCCTTTTTCTATGAAGGTATAGTACAGCTACCTTCTCCGTTGACTGATTTATAGCTTGAGCCTCTAATTTCTTTCTGGAAGCTGCATTATCCATCCAGAAAATGTGCTCAGTTTCATAAAGGCAAAGTGGGGATAAAAGGTGTAATCATGTGCATGTGATCTTTTTTAGTCACCCAGTCCATTCACTTTTCTCTCAGATTTTCGTACCTGTTTTTAAAGAAAATAAGCCTGTTTCATAAAGGAATAGGTGTCTAGTTTTGCAGGAAAAAACATGTTCTCAGGATGTTCATGCTGTTGTTTTATCTGAAGCCACATTTGTGCAGTGTGTGGTCTATTTCTTCTACAAAAGATCTAAGAAAGCAATTTTTAAAATGTGAAACTGCAATTAGAAGGTCTGCAATTAGGAATCCTTGTTTATAACCCAAAATTGGAATTCGTGCAAGACACATAAGAACAAAAAAAATGAAGGAATGACGTCAGAAAACTACTTATCTTTGTACTTTTTAGATACGGCAAAACTTCAGACTTGAATTTTTTTTTCTTGCTCTCTGATACGCCAGTTGCTTTTATCAGTTGTTCCCCCCCCCCTTTTTTTTTAAAGATAAAGTTAAAATGTTTATTTTGGAATGAAGTTCTTAAAATGTAGAGCTAGGTGCAGCTGAAGTGGTTCAGGTTGATGACTATCAAACAAAAAATTTTTTCTTCAAGCTGTGCTAATGTGGGGAATGATACAGGTCTGGAGTTGTCCCCTTCTCAGTTCTTGTTAATTATGCACCTGCAACTTATTGCAAGGTAAATGATAAAAGTTTTGATGCTGTTAGGATTTCTTAGATTTAGTTTGATTTGGCAGATGGTGGGAACAAAAGAGAGACATGGTGTTGCAGTAGATTATTTTGCAGTATCTGTGTTTCTCTTATAATGGCCAGAACTTGCTTTTAGAGACTGTTGTATTCAGATTTTGTGTAGCAAAATAGTATTTTGCAAACTCATTATTCTGCTAATTTAGAGTTAAGAAAATGCCTAACCATTTGGGTCTTGTGATGATTCTTATAATTCTTAACTCAGGCTCTGACATGGGTTGAGCCTGGGCTTTTTCAGTAGTGGAAACAGTAAACATAGGCTGTAGAGCTTCTTGTGTGACGGTTGCCCAAAGAATTGCTTAATAAGCATGATGTTTAGTCCTGCCACATTTTTTATGCTTGACTCAAGTAGGGCATTGACTTTGATTTGAGGATAACTGCTTGCATGATACAGAATATAAAGGAAAGAAATGTCTCCAGTCTAAACAACCAAACTGTAGTGCATATTCCCTGTAAACTTCTGAATTTGACTGTTTCAGAAATGCGGTATAGCTTTTATGTGAAAAAATTGGCTCCTAAGGTGTCTTAGCCTAAAATAGAGTGTGAGAAAAAGGTCTCTGAAATCATACTTGTTTATTCTGTTGTCTGAAAATAATTCTTCCTCTTGTCCCACTTGAGGGCTGTACAAGAACCAGAGAGGGAGGCTGATATCAGACCAGGACTTCCTTCCAAGTCAGTGTCTTCTGGGAAACGCAGCACAAAGCAGCAGCTTTCAAGCTCTGCCAGCTCTTGTCAGATTTTGCTAAATCGATCTCTAATTTATTGCCCTTTTTTAGGGAAATGCTGTGTTCACAGCTAATGTAATTACTGTCCTGCTGCTCTAATAGTTACTTAGAAGTCAAATTAGAGCTGATCATGAATCCTCTGACAAAATAGCTGTTCCTTTAGAGAATGTTAATTAGTTGAAACCAGCCCTCCTTTTTAGGAATGTACATACCAGACTTGATGGGAAGTTTTTTCTCTGGTTCAAAATGGAATTTCTAATCAAAGCCAAGCTTAGAATAGCAAAGAAAGAGTCTAGGGGTTTATGGAGTCATATGGGACAGAAGATACGAAGCTTAAGACCCTTTTCTGTTTCATCGTTAACACTAGGCTAAAGATGCTCCCTTTTCTGTCAGTGTCTTTGGTAAGTACTATTCCACATTGAATAAGCAAATAAATATTTTGGCTGAGATTGCTAAACCACAACTGTCTCAGATGTGATATCTTTTGGCATGTGGGAGACAATTTTCAGATTTCTGATCTGAATGGGACAGGAGAGTGACTGAAAGCTGGGACTGTTCCTACCTAACACACTCCAGCTGTAGTCTTCATGTTTCAGAAAAAAGCCCTGGGTAGGGTTCCGTATTTCAAAAATATTTTGGACCTGGTGGCAGCCAAGCAAATCTGCTTTTGAAGACAGGCAGATAATTTCCCCTGCAGCCTTAATATAAACCCTTAGACACTCACATTACTTAGAACAAATGTTTTTAGCTGACTTCTTACTGAAAGGACTTCAGAACAAAGAAATGAAACACAAAATGTATGGAAAGATAATATATGTGTACGTGTATAAAGATGCCCTATCCTCAAAGAATGTGGTATCTTCACATTAAAAAAACAAACCTTAACTTGACTCTTTGCTTGTAGTTGCTTTGGTAGCTGAAGGAATGACTCAGGACGCAGGTGTGATAGTTATCTTTAGGCCTCAAGATTACTTTATGGTAGGATGAGCTTGGTAGCAAGTGCTACTTTTAGGATGTCTGGCAGTTGGTTGAATGCTCATAAACGTCTCCTTCAACGGTTTCTGAAGCTTTGAAAGCTACAAGCAGGTTTTGCTGAAGAGAATTGCCCTTTCTTTGACCTGCAGTGTTCAGCCTGGTGACTTCAAGTGTTTAATACCGGTACAGGTATTTTGGTTAGGTGTGAGAGAAATTAATTAATTGCATTTGTTTATCTTACCCGAATAGTTGCCATAAGACCATTTCTACTCCCTTTGGTAAAGAGAACTGTTTATCCCATATAATATATTCCTCTCCTGAGTGGAAATTGCTGTACTGCAATAGGGTGGCTAAGAGAAGCTGAGATGGACTTTCTTCAGATACGCTGCTGGGAGAACATCAGCCATCTGCCAGGACAGCTGTGCCTCCTGGGGCAGGGGCTGCCCTCGCTGCAGGCTGTACCTAGTTGCTGCTGGGACTGTGGTGGTGAGAGGCAGAAAAGGAGCAGCTGCCTCATGAGGGTGCTTTTCCAAGTTCCAGAGCTGTGAGGAAAGATGAAAAGCTGTGGTTCAATGGAAAACATGAGATGCTGTGTTGGGCACAAGACCTCTTCCCCAAAGAGAGCCACCATGGGTGTTTGAAATACCTGTACTCAGTTCTAACAACTCATCCTCAGTTGAGGGTAAGATGCTAGCTGATGTGGTTAAGCTTGTGTCTGAGGGAGAGGAGCCTTGAGCCTGAGGCTGAGACTTGAAATTGAGATACTGAGACCTTGCTAATCCTGTCACTATGGAGTAAGTAACTTCTGACAAGCCTGCTACGCCAAGTCTCGCATGTGGAGTCATTGCTGTATCTGAGGCTTGTGAAAGACTGTCTTTGTCTTCCTTTCATACCTGTCTGAAAGCGGCCTTCTTTTACAAAAGCAGTATGTAGTGCTTTGTGAAACAAACACCTTGATGTATTGCGTTGGCAATCAGCGTGATAAGCAAAGGAAAAATTTCTAGTCAGACATTAAAAAAAACGGACAACAGAAGCTGATTGAAATAAACCTTCCAGAGTTTTTGAGGAGGTGCTTGGTAAGAAGAAACAGTAAGAGAAAGCCAGAAAAAAAACGTTAAAAGGTTTGTTGGGGTTTTTAACAGTGTTTCAGGTTGTTTCAACTAAAGCATTGTTTTTTAAGATAACCAGACTAGTAAGTCAAGTCAGTCAAATGGCAAGTTTTTAGACTTTTTCTCTTGAAAGCCTCAGAAATCAGTTATTAGAAATCTATTAATACACAGTTATGCATTGTGATCTTGGTAAACAACAGATTTATGATTGCTTGAGCAATTGCAAGCCGTCTGCATATGTTTTATCCAAGTCTAGTTAGATGGTCCTGTGTATTTTTGTTATGAAACAAAAGTCCTGTTAAGTGTTCAGAAAGAATGAAATTAATGTTGACAATTAATGCTGACAACTGTGTGTCTAGCCTTTCCTAATTTTGAAGACTTGTCTTTCTAGCCTAAATAGGTTATATATATTTACAATAGTCTTTTTTTTTTTCTTCCAGGGGAGAGTATTGAAATTGTCACTGAAAAATGTTTAGGGCTTTAGGCAGTAGTATTTTGAAATTGAAGTTTTCACTTTTACTTCTAGAACACTTTTAAAACTACTTTGTTCCCTAGCTTAAGCACTTTTATTTTGACATAAGAACTGGCAAGAAATAAATGTATGTTGGAGAGCAGAAAGTTCCTACTACTGGAAAAATGAGAAGTTGGAACGGCCTTCCAGTCAGAAAAATCAGAGCAAAAGGTCGCTTTTATATGGAATTTTTTTACCCTGAAAAATATGATCTAGTTGCCAGCAATAGATAGGAATCAATTCAGCAATCCTGTACCCTACGCTCTGAACAGAAGCAGAGTGC